TTGATAGGCTCACCCACTGAACCCAAAAGACGAAGCGATGAGCGATCGTGCGGCAGAACGTAATCGTTCCCGAAAGCCATTAGTGCACGTACTGCTGTTGGTGCCGTGTATAAAGTTGTAACCTAAAAAAAGCACCAAAAATAACATGCATCCAGAGCCTCAGTCAACTCGTATTAAAGATTCAGCAGAAAATCCGCCCATTACTATGCTTACTGCAGGACAAGACAAATTTGAGCGTGTGTGGACGGTTGCAATCAAACTGAGATTTATTCACTAGAAAGATCTCATTTCTTGCAACTATCAACAAGTAATCTCAGCATAAGTCGCATATGTTACAAATAAGGAATATTTCCTTCAAGAAATGAAAAAACTTTAGAATCGCAAGCAGGCTGTCCATTAGGCGACACAGCACTGGTCAAGAAGGTTGAAAAAGAAGGAGAAATACACTATGCATATGAAGTAACAGCCTTCCGAAGTATTTCAGATAAAGGGGAATTTAAAGACTAAAAAGAGCCAGAATAAGAAAAAACGACTTTCATTGGAACAGTTTCTAACAACCACTTTGTGAAAGATGACAGATGGGTTAGGTTTTCAACACCTTTAGCATTTAGTTACGGATGCTGTTACAGCCGCTTGAATTCCGAAAAGATGATAATTCCAACAAGTCTTATAAAGTGATGCTGTGCGAAAAGCTAGGAAAGCTTTTTGTTCCAATTTTCAATCAGAATTTTTAAATGTTCGGCACAAATAAACTTGTGAAGATGGCATTCTAAGGAAGAGTTCTAAGGCTAATTAAAGTGAAGTTTTTGTTGAAAATGACATACTTTGTATTTCTCAACAATCTGCCACATTCGTGCTGGCGTCGGATAAGTTGGCACACCTTCAAACATTACACACGTCAAACCGTTAAGCAATGGACCGTATACAAGATACGAGTGCCCAGTAATCCAACCACAATCGGCTGTGCACCTGCAAATACATCCGCGCAAATGAGGGAAGTATGCTGCTTTTTCCACTAAAAGTTCGCATTCAACTCCCATCCACCATTCTGCACTTCGTCCAAAATATAGAATTTAACCTTTTCATCTTATTAAAACCTTCTGTAAATCATTGTCTGCATAAAGAATTTACGTAAAACTAACCAGTAAATGTCCCTTTCCGGATGTGCGTCAAAAACATATTTGACGGTGGCGTACGCATAGGTCATGTAACCAGCTGTCGTATGCAGAATTCCTTTCGGCTGACCTGTGGAACCGGATGTATGGAGGATGAAAAGCGGATCTTCCGCTTCACTCCACTCAACTTCGCACTGCATTCCTTGACAACGTCTCATTTCGTCCTCCCACAAAACATCCCGACATTTGTTTAATTTTATCTAAAATTTATAGAAGTATGCATTTTGTGAACCAGGTCTTTCAACAATGTTGTAGTTATCGTTATATTAATGCAATTTTTTTCCAGTGCGACAGCAGTGGGAAGAGTCTCATGATTTCACTGAATCCACAATCCTTATCATAATTATGGAACTTTTGAAAAATCAAATGATAACATTCTGAGGAGAGAAAACTGTTTTTCGGCTAATACAAGACTCATATTTTTGTAATCAAAAGACTGATTTTAAATGTAAAAGAGAATTTGAAGATGTGTCTTCAGTTTGTAGAAATAATCAAGAAATTGAGGAGCACAAGAAAATAAACCATACTTCTGCAAGAGTAGCACCATTAGGTTGATGAACGCGTTCCAGATGTTTTACAACAATCACAGTTTCCACCGGTTCACCCTAAAGTGTAATACAATATTTTGCATCATCTCAGTTTTTTTCTTGAAAAATTTTAAACTTCTCAACTTAGATTTTTTATCATCATATGGATGAGGGAGAATAATCGCAAAAGGTCCCTCTGTGGTCCAAGAGATCTCTACACCCCAAATCAACCTCTTCATAAACTTCAAAATCCTCTTCCACACAAAAATGACAACAGTGAAAGAGGAATGCAAAAATGAGACACATTTCTTTGGAAGAATGAGGTGCAAGAACCAGGACCATTAGCAGGATGAAATCAAGTAATACAGCACGGATACAACAACCGTGGGAAGAATGCCTGCTAGGCTGCGGGGCGAAAAGACTCCCCGTAATGAACAAAACATGATTCTAGCTCAACATACAGCAACGGTGCATTCAGCAACGGCGCTATCAGCGATTGCTTTCAGTGCAACGAGTTTCTTGCCACGAAAGTATCCATCAGCGGTGATCAGGAGACGCGATTTTACTTGACAGATCCGTGCTGCCAGTGCATCGGCGCTGTAGCCGGCGAACACCACCGAATGGACAGCACCGATCCGTGCGCAGGCCAACATCGCAATCGGCAATTCCACAATCATCGGCATATAAATCACCACGACATCACCCTAAACAGAGGCAGTGCAGTTGCATTACATTGATATTGGAAGAGCAAACTGCTTCAGTAAAGCATTATACACAACCCCAGTGAAGTGAAGTTACATCTAGCAAATCGCAATTTTTCGGTACGGTATTGTTTAGTGATACAGAGCAACCACGGTACTGCAACCATATGCACACGGCAGTGCACTTGCTCAACAACGATAAGCATAACAAGTAAAACTTGTAGTTTCTGCTACAAATGAAGGAAAAAACACGGAAAGGAAAAAAAACGGATTGTTGAATGGTACCCAAGCAACGTTAAACATTCAGGGAGAAGTTTTTTGACCGCTATATGGAGTT